AGACAAGATGAGCCTAGAGCTTTTTGTTGTCTTAAAATAAGGAAATTCTCAAAGAACCATGGGGACATGTCAAAAGGAAGCAACAGCCAGCTTGAAAGGACTCCTACTGGACAAAGCAGGGATAACTGGAAAATAATGAATTATAATTCACCAAATAAAAAAAGAGCCCACAAATTCACACTTATATAAATAAATGAATAAATATATTAGAGAAGAGGAAAAGCTCTTCCTTACAGTAGAATGCCAATTAATACAGAAGGAATGGGAGAGTGAGAAAATCATAAGTGGATGTAAATCTGGTGAAAGAAGGTGTGGTAAGGAACAGGATAGTATATAATCTCAAAGCATCTGGAAACAAATAATAATAGAAGACAAAATAATAACTTTATAGTAGTTAAACTTGGCAGACATCACCTTAACCCAATGATTAGAGATACCATCATCAATTCTGAGGTAAACCATTATCATGCACCCACTGCATGGTTAATTGAGAAGACACATCATTGGTATACCTGCCAAAAACGCACAATGTGAATCTACTCATGAGGAAATGCAAGAAAAACCCAAACTGTGGGATTTTCCAAAAAATAACTAGCTTGTACTCTTCAAATGTATCAAGGTCAAGACATACAAGAAGAGTGGAGGGAGTGTTTCAGATTAAAGGAGATTGATCTGACACAATTAATGCAATACATGATCCTGGAGTACTTAAAGTGCATCCAAAACCCAGGAGGTGAGGGGTAGGGAGTGGACAGGAGAGAGGATTAGGCAGGGGTCTGAAAGGGGGGACTTACAAAGAGTATTAACTGAGACAAGTGATAAAACTTGAACATGCTTTGGGAATTTGGTAATAGTACTGTATCTATGATAATTTCCTGATTTTGATTAACTGTTGGGTTCTGCTAAAAAAATAAAAGTCCTTGTTCTTAGGAAGTACACATTCATTCAAGTATTTAAGAAAAAAGGACACAGTATCTTAACTTACTCTCAAATGGATCCCCTAAAAATGGGTATGGGTTTTACTTACACACACACATATTATTTATAACTTTTTTAAAAGTTTAAAAGCACACCAAAATAAAAATTACAACAACAGGGGCACCTGGGTGGCTCAGTCGTTAAGCGTCTGCCTTCAGCTCAGCTCATGATCCCAGAGTCCTGGGATAGAGCCCCGCATCGGGCTCCCTGCTCAGCAGGAGGTCTGCTTTTCCCTCTCCCACTCCCCCTGCTTGTGTTCCCTCTCTCACTGTCTGTCAAAAAATAAATAAAATCTTGGGGCGCCTGGATGGCTCAGATGGTTAAGCGTCTGCCTTTGGCTCAGGTCATGATCCCAGCATCCTGGGATTGAGCCCCGCATCGGGCTCCCTGCTCATCGGGGAGCCTGCTTCTCCCTCTCCCTCTGCCTCTCTCCCTGCTCATGCTCTCTGTATCCCTGTGTCTCAAATGAATAAATAAAATCTTTAAAAAATAAAAAAATAAAATAAAATCTTTATTTATTTATTTATTTAAGATTTTATTTAATTATTTGACAGAGAGAGAGACAGCGAGACAGGGAACACAAGCAGGGGGAGTGGGAGAGGGAGAAGCGGCTTCCCGCTGAGCAGGGAGCCCGATGCAGGGCTCAATCCCAGGACCCGGGATCATGACCTGAGCCAAAGGCAGATGCTTAACGACTGAGCCACCCAGGCGCCCCATAAATAAAATCTTAAAAAAAAAAAAAAAAATACAACAAAACAACCTAAGAATAACTGCTTACAAATTTCTTGTCTTAAAGGAACCTCTGAGCCTTTGTACATACTACCTTTCTGCCTAAAATGCCTGCCTTCTCTTCACTTGGCCAACTGCTACCTACTCTTCTAGACAGCAAAAAGTGAAATTTTGAAATAAGGTGATGTCACTTTTGTCAAAATTCTCTAATGGTTTCCCTTAGACTTAAAAATATAAGTCTGGTCCCTGAGGAGGCCAACATGTCCAACAGATCTTTACAACAGTGAAAATGTTTTAGATCTGTGCTGTCTAATATGGTAGCCACTAGCCAAATCTAAGTGACAATGAGCACTTGAAATGTGGCTAATATAACTGATGAATTAATCTTTAGTTTTTAAAATTTAAATAGCCACATGTAGGTAGTAACTACCTTATAAAACAGCCCAGCTTTAAATACCCCTTGCTCCCTACTATGTTTTGGATTTCATTGGCCAACACACTCCGATTTACCTCTGCTACAGTCACACTGGCTTTTTGCTATTCTTCAAACATATTGATCGCAAAAAAAAAAAAGAAAAATTTTTCAAAATTAAAAAAAAAACCAAAATGTATCGCTCACATTCTGGCCTTAGTCATTACATTTACTGTTCTCTCAGCATGGAATATTATCACATGGTTTGCTCTCTCATTTCTCTCAGGTGTCTACTCAAATGGTACCTTATCAGTCTATGTGCTCTATCCTTGAGTGCTCTACCTAAAATAGCACCCCATCACTCTATGTCCTTCATCCTGCTTTACATACTGAATACTGAAGGAGTGAAATGTCATGAATTCTATAATTTACTTTCAAAAAATATATAATTTTATCCACTAAGAAAGTAGATGAAGTAAATGACAAAATATTAATGCTGAATCACTATATTGTATACCTGAAACTAATATAACACTGTGTGTTAACTATATTGGAATTAAAATTTTTAAAAAGATGAATATTAACTGTTTAATCTAGATGATAAGCATATGGATATTTCTTTATTATTCCAATGTCTCTCTGTATATTTGAAAAATGTCCCAAATGAAAAAAAAAAATGGCAGATGAAATATGATCTGGAGCTAATGAGTAAACTATTCTTTCCTTCACAATTAAGTTTCATAAAAGGAGAATGAAATGCTATGTTGAGGTAGGTTTTGTTTTGTTGTTTTTAAGTCAGAACTCAAAAATACCTTTGTACATTGAAGAAAATGAAACAGAAGGAAGGGATGAAGATAAAACTAGAAAAAACTAGTGGAGCAAGGACCTGGAAGAGATGGAAATAACATCCTGAATTAGTACTGTGAAGGCATAGAAATACTATATTCCGAAAAGGGAAGAAAAGAAATATGGCTAACTCTATAAGCTGGAAATTATAGGAGAAAAAGTTCAGAGAGCTTGAAAAATGATGGCTGATGAATTAACAAGCAAAATAGCCTGCCAAAGAGTTAGTCACGGCAAAATGGGCACAGAATCTGGGAAAAATGGCAAAGTTTGAAATAATCACCATGGGGAATGGGATAATTAATCAAGGTCAATAAAAATACACATGAAGTGGCAATGCAGATACAACTTACTGCCAGTAATTTGTTTATGCAATGTTCTCTGACACTTGGCTACATGAACACAGGGTACAAAACATCAGATGAAGTACGCTTATTTGGATCAGAGGAAGGCTATTTAACATCAGAGTAGAGATCTTAAGTGGAACAGAGATATTGTATGAGTAAGAGAGTGAAAGAACTAGAGGGTCGTAAGTTTGATAAGTAAATAGCATAACCAGAATTTCAGAAATGGGATTATAATGGTGATAAATAAAATCTAAAAGGAAAATCAGTTATGTTGTTCTCTGTAATTAAAGTAAAATAAATTCTCTTTTTGGCTAGTGTGATTTAAATGTGGTTTTACCAAGAGCTGGAAGTTGACATGGCTCCTAAAGGTTTTATCAATTATAGAACAGAATTGCTTTTTGGTCAATAATGTCTCAACATCATGGTGTAATTTCACAAGTAATTTATTAATAATAATAGTGAAAGCTCAAAAATTGGCTTCTTTCTGTGAATTAGATCTGATTTTATTTATTTATAAGATTTTATTTATTTATTTGAGAGAGAGAGAGCAAGCACAAGCAGGGAGGAGGGTCAGAGGGAGACGGAAAAGCAAACTCCCCACTGAGCAGGGAGCCCGATGGGGGGCTCGATACCAGGACCCAAGATCATGACCTGAGCCGAAGGCAGACGCTTAACCTCAGACTGAGCCACCCAGGTGCCCCTAGCGCTAATTTTAATAACATAATTCTCACTCATATTCTAATATATTTCCTGGGTAGGAACATCCATGGGAGTATGTCATACATATGAATGGAATTTTATGTTACAGCAGTGAAGATATTGAGAACTGTTAGCATATAGTATTGCTATTATTTTAAAGTATCTTGTACCACAGAAAATAGTGTCAGGAATGGTAATTATGACCTCTGGCTAAGATTTATTTAAATACCAGAAGCTGGAAGAACAAGAGCTGTCATTCTTAATACCTTTACCATATTTCAAAAAATCTTTGGGAGCCAAGACTGCTTACCTTGGACTTCCATTAAATATATAACAAGAAAAGTTTCATTAGAAAATAATACACAATTAAAAAAAAAAAAAAACTTAGGGCGCTTGGGTGGCTCAGTCATTAAGCATCTGCCTTTGGCTCAGCATGGTCCTGGGGTCCTGGGATCGAGTCCCACATCGGGTTCCCAGCTCAGCAGGAAGCCTGTTTCTCCCTACCCCACTCCCCCTGCTTGTGTTCCCTCTCTTGCTGTGTCTCTCTCTATCAAAATAAAAATAAAATCTTTAAAAAAAAAAAACAAATTCTCAATCTATACCTCATGTCTACCTTGTTGGTTAGACTAATCCTGAACTTAAGTTACAGTCTGGAGTTGAGCAGAAAAGAATGTCAGTGAAGTTGGATCACACCACAGAAGTGGTTTTCAAAATAACAGCACACTCACAGGTTCCTAATTCCAGTCAATGTGAAATGGGAAAGGGGAGTTTCACAGGTAATATATAATGGTCATAAGCACCACTACTAAGAGATGTATGAAATTCCAACATTAATGTTATATTGAAACCAGTACCACCAAATAAAATGCTACAGTTCTATAAACTGAGGAAGAAAACTGCACTTATCATTGGACTGTTTTGACACTTCTATTTAATCTCCTATATGCTTCAACAAACACCCATGACTAAAAACCAAAATATAAAATACTTACTTTTTCATTTTTTTTGAGTTATATTTGACTTGGTAAGCTGCCTGGATTAATTTGTCTGGACCACCATCAAACTGATGTGGAATGACCTTCTGAAAGTGCTAATAAAACACAAGCAAAGTATAAGAACTACTTAGTGCTGTTTATTACTGACTAATTAAGAGTAAAATCTAAAGACACTCAAGAAATCATGAACTGACCTACCTGTAACATCCCTTCCATGTCAAGTTGCATCAGTTCTGCCTGATTCATTTGAAGAAGTGCTAATCCTACTCGAAACACTATTTCTAAACCCTGTGGAAACACATTTTTATAAAGCCAAACTTGTCTTACTCTTACATTGACAAAAACTAATCATTCAAAAGAATACTAAGATAAATATTTGTCTTACTGGAACTGGCAAACTTTTTTTGTAAAAAGTCAGATAGCAAATATTTTAGGCTTTGTAGGCTATGTGGTTACTGTCACAATTCAACTCTGCCACTAAGACCAAAAGCAGACGGAGATAACACAACAAATGGGCATGGCTATGTTCCAAGAAAACTATTTACAAAAATAAGTGGAAGGACAGCTTTAGTACCTGAACCAGTAGGGTCAGCACACAAATCAGTTTCCTGGCTCCAAACTAAACTAATTTAACTAGGTAATATAAGCTAATTTTCCCAAGATGTAATTAACAACAATTAACACTGGGTTTGATTAAGATATTCTATTCTTTTATTTTATTCATTCATTCATTCATTCATTCATTCATTCATAAGTAAGTAAGTAAGTAAGTAAGCTCTATGACCCTGAGATCAAGAATCACATGCTCTCCCAGCTGAGCCACCCAGCCTTTATTAATACTGATTAATAACACTTTCAAGTGCTACCTACAATTTGTCACCTAACCTGCCTACCTTCTCATCCAAAATATAGAAAAAAAGACAAAAGATGACTACAACATGACAATGACAATTAAAACTGCAATATATTCACAGAATAGAAAAAATATATATTCATTACTTCTTGCTCTTTGGGTAACAGATGCAGAGCAATAATATTAACTGTAAGGCAAATTTCACTTCTCACTAATTCTCACTAAATCAATCAGGAGGTGATACAGAGGTTTGTTTAAGAGTGTGGGCTCCAGATTTCGACTGCCTGTATTTGAACGATGGTTACTACACTACTTACGTGCTGTGTGTCCACAGACAAGCTACTTAACCTTCCAGTAAGTCTCAGCTTCCTCATCTATCATCTATTAAATGTACTAACAGTACTTATAGGGTTATTACAGGTTTAAAGGAGAATATCAAAGTAAGTAGCTTAGTATGGAACACATGGCTCCTCACTGCTTTGCACTAATGATTAACCCAATAATTCCTTTGCTCAGCCTGCCCATTAGCTTACCTCGGACATAAAGATATCAAATATCCTTGTTGCAATTGGTAATGGAAAAGTCGTAAGAAAGATAGTCAGAAACCAGGATGATGCATACATTGAGGTATGAAAACTCTGAGACTGAAAATGCACAAAGAGCTCTGGAAGATGCTCCTAAAGAGAAGAAAAGAATTAATTAAAACACAGTAAAATTGAGCATTTCAAACCAGATTACTGTGTGTATACGAGATAAGCCTATATCAAACACAAAGATCAGGCATCACTTAGAAAAGTTAAGATGTGGGGCGCCTCGGTGGCTCAGTCATTAAGCGTCTGCCTTTGGCTTGGGTCATGATCCCAGGGTCCTGGGATGGAGCCCCGTGTCGGGCTCCCTGCTCCGCGGGAAGCCTGCTTCTCCCTCTCCCACTCTGCCTGCTTGTGTTCCCTCTCTCACTGTCTCTCTCTCTCTGTCAAATAAATAAATAAAATCTTTAAAAAAAAAAAAAGTTAAGATGTAGAAATTGATACATTCAGGATGATGGTTACTATCAGGGAAGGGAAGAAGGGGAAAAGGATGTGGAGTTAGAACTTAGGCTGTATCTGTAATATTTATTAATAAAAATAAGAAAACAAGTAAATAAAACTTTAATATTTGTTTAATCATGTTGATAGGAACATGGGTATCTGATATTCTCAATACTTTTCTATAAACTATAATAATTCCAAAAAAATTTTTTTAAAGAAAAGAAATGCTATACTGAAACACATTCATGTGCTATCTACCACTGATTACCTTCCTACCTTCTCACCTAAAATACAGATGCTTCCTCAATTCTAGTAATTCAAAACATAAATGACACACTAACTGAAAATAAACCACGAGAGATTAAGGTTGGTTAAAAACAAGCCTACGTGGGCCCCTGCGTGGCTCAAGTCAGTGTGATCTCCCAGTCCCACATTAAGCTCCCTGCTCAGCAGGGAGTCCACTTCTCCCTCTCCCTCTACCCCACCCCCTCATGCACACTCATGCTCTCTCTCTCAAATAAATAAATAAAATCTTTTTTAGAAAAGCCTACTATTTCAGAAAGAAAAATTTAACTAAGAATCATCTCAAGGCCTACTTTGTCTTCTTTAAAATGTGCCAACATTTTGCATATCCCTTTTTGTCCCCACCACACATACAAAAGAAAGCATTTTAAAATTCTTGTAGGTAAGGCTGCCAGGGAAAAGGAGACTTGTAAAAGTGGTTCTCATGTCAGGTGAATCATTAACCTATATTCTTAAGTTCTGCTTATCTAATTGAAATTTAAGTAAATGAAAATACACCATTATATTACCGGACAATACAGTAAACTAATTTATATATATATATATAGTTTACTATAGGGGCACCTGGGTGGCTCAGTCCGTTAAGAAGCTATCTTCGGCTCAGGTCATGATCCCAGGGTCCTGGGATCGAGCCCTTCGTCGGGCTCTCTGCTCTGCGGAGAGCCTACTTCTCCCTCTCCCTCTGCCTGCCACTCTGCCTATCTGTGCTCTCTCTTTCTGTCAAATAAATATAATCTTAAATATATATATATATAGCTTACTATATATATTATTAGTATATATTAGTTAATAATATATATATCTATTATATATATGTAAATTAACTCCAGAAAGTAAAATATTCCAAAATATATTTTTCACCTGATTTTGATTCCTCTCCTCTTCTATATACCCTCACACAGTCACTAGACTCTTGGCCTAGCAACATAAAAGCCTTATTTTAAGAAAAGATTAGGCTAGCAAAAGAGTGAGATAAAAAGGGAAAGGCAAGAGAAAGGACTGAAAGAACCAGAACAGCCAAGTCTCAAAGGAAATGAACTGATGTCAGTGTCATAATGTCATAAGCTCCTATGAGAGCATAGTCTATTTAACAACAGAATACAATAGGGCATAAAAAGGAAACTCATGCATTTAGGCAACGTGGTTGTGACAGACTTGGCACAAATGCTTAAAGTCTGAATATGAAAACTGCAGTCAAGTTCCAGACTGTGATCTACCTGTAAACAGTATCTAACTGGGAAGTAGGTCTAAACTGTGTTAACCAATGAACAAATGATCACATGCTTAAAACACTGATTTTTCAATTGCTATAATGCTTTTAACATTAAATTTGCTTAGTTGTCACTCAAACCAAGATGACACAAATATAAAGGCAATATGCCTTTTTGTTAATACTATAATTTTAGGGGTGCCTGGGTGGCTCAGTCGTCAAGCATCTGCCTTCGGCTCAGGTCATGATCCCAGGGTCCTGGGATCGAGCCCCTCATCGGGCTCCCTGCTCCGCGGAATTGCTTCTCCCTCTCCCTCTGCCCCTGCTTGTGTTCCCTCTCTCTCTGTGTCTCTGTCAAATAAATAAAATCTTAAAAAAAAAAAAAAACTACAATTTTACCTGTATCATGCATTCAAACTGGTACATACAAAGGCCCAATTCTGCCATACTTGGTTTAAAAAGTTCACGAAGTCTATAATCTTGCATTAATTTAACAAATACACAGAAAGCTTCTTCTTCTGGCATCTACATTAGGAGGGGAAAAAAAGCAACATAGGTTAATGTTCTGTCATACCCAAATAAGCTATTTAAACTAAGTACCCATTCATCTATAAACACTGACTTCAGTGGCCATGTGATACAATGTTAAGTAGGAATCAAAAGGTTCCAATCTCCCATTCTCAGAATGAGAAGTTAAATCTTATAACCTCTGAGACTAACTGCCTCACTTGCCTAATTCATGAATTCAATCAACCAATATTCATCTAGAGCCAGATACTTCTGTTTTTCTGGGTATATACTAGTGAACAAAATAAACACTCTACCCTCATGGAACTTGAACATCCTACTGGGGGGAGACAGACAATAAATGTAATAAATCAATTAGTATGTATGCCAGATGGTTTTGAGTGCTACAGAAAGAAAACAGAGTAGGGTACAGGAAATGCTGGAAGATACACTGCTATTTTATGTAGGCAGATTAGGGAAAGTCCCTTGATAGGGGAGCATTTGAACAGAATACTGAAGAAATAAGGGAGCAACTGAGGAAAGAACAGTCCCGGGAGAATGAATAAACAAGGCCTTGAAGTAGAATCACAATTGGCATGCTAAAGGAACAGCAAATAGGATACTACTAATTAGGAGGAATTCTACAAGTGCAGTTAGGTTATGAAGGAGAAATACAGGGAACCAAATTATATAGAGTTTTAGAAGCCACTGTAAGGATGTGGACTTTTATCTTATGTGTGATGGGAAAACTTTCAACAGTTCTGAGCAGAAATGATAGGATACGGTATAGGTGTTAAACACACACACACACACACACACAAACTTGTAAAATAAATTTTCAAAGAATCTGTAAGCAAGGTTTAAAAGTACCAATTTCACATTTTATGTGTAACTCACAAGAAAAACTATCAAGTAAGATAATGAATGTAAGAGCTACACAGATATTCAGAGTATTTTCTAATTTTCTAATGCTCATTCACTCACATTATAACAATGTGTTTTAAAAGAGGAAACTCAAAGGTTCTCTAGGTATTCTTCTTACTAAAGACTGCTTCTAATAACATTTTTCCTGGCCTTGACACAGCCATGGATAGAAGTCAAGTGTTACCGTTGGTAAAACCTGTACTTCCTTCCTCCCCACACACACAGCCACAGTTCTGCCTTGGAGACTATTCCTATCAATCCCTTCAAGCCCTACAGCCCCACTGTAAGAAGCCCAACAATCCAGAACTCTCATCCCATGTGGTTCTACTGCTCCTTAATCTAACCCTATATCCAGCCTTCCCTAAACCCTTTCCATAGCACTTTCTGGAACTCATAACCTGCCATCAACAAAATATCCTACTTACATCCTCAATCTCTCTACCAGATGTTCTTTCACCATTTTCCTCTAACTGAAACTTGTCTCCGCTAAGGTGGCTGTTTTCTCTCGCATAGCACTGGAAGAAGCCAAGGATTAGAGAGGTATATGTCCTTCCCTGGACCTTACTGACTCGTTGTCATTGCATTAACTCCCCCTTCTCTCTGAAACAATACCCGTAGGTGTTACTTATGACTCTTCTTTTTTGTAGTATCTACAAATCTCTAGGTCACTGACCCAAACCCTACTCATTTTCATGAGGACTAATTCCCTGGCCTAGCAGATCTTTGCCTTCCTTTCCTCCAATGATCCTCACTCAGGCTCTAGAGCCACACCACTTAAGATTCAAATACCACTTAATAGAGTGGGAGAGACTACGCTATCCCTAACCCCTCCCAACTTGAAAGTATATAAGGGGCCACTCCTCATGACCCCAGTGCAACTCTTTCTGCCCATGGGTTCTGTTTCTGTGACCATCAGCAAATAGAGGTTACTCTCTATTGCTCAGTTTCAACATATATCAAATGGGTAAAATAACAGCACTTATTTCATAGGGTTGCAATGAAGATTAATACACACAGTATTTACAGCTATATGACTTTGCAAGCATATCAGTCATTTATAGCACACTACCTTTTTTCTGTTCCTGTGCTCTCTGCTACCTACCCTGTTACATTTATTCATTAACTTATATCTACAATTACTCTTGCCTCTCTCTCTCAGTAATAATTCCAACTCAAAAACTCCACCCTTGAATAAATCCAACTCTACAACTACATCTAGATAGCAGAAAGTGGCTGGGTAAAAACAAAACACTTAACCATGCTGGCTGGTCTCACTTTGAATTCAGGACCACTAATGTCAGTGGGTATTTAATGCTTCTGGTATATTTTATTTCCCTAATTCAATCACTCTCATTCTCCTAGGCCACCATTTCAAACTTCTCTGTCCTCAAGCTTCCATTACCTCCTTCCCACTCAACTCTAAGCTAATGATCTTATTTGGTATTTCAATTTTTTAAAAATTAGAAGCAATTAAAACACAATTTTCCCATTCTCACACCACCACAAATACCATCCTACCTGCATCTGTACCCATTTTATAACCCCTAGACTCTCTCTTCTATTGGCCTGAACCTTTAGTTCTCGTCTCATATTTTCAAATGCCCTACTTACATTTCCACTTGCATGTCCAAAAGACATCTCAAACCACTTGTAATTTCCTACCCTGCCATTCCTTGCCCAAACTTCCACTCAAAATCCATATGCATCATCACAATCTCCTTCCTCTTTTATTCCACATCTAATCTTTCAGTAACTCCTGTTGGCTCTAAATTCAAATTATTTCAAGAATCAACCACCTCCAACTATTCACAGCTAGTCCAAACCACCATCAAAAGAGCAGCCCATTGTCTGGACAACTCCACAAGGCTCTTCATTGATGTGAGAAACAAAAGCAGAAGAAAAGTCTCTCCATTCTGCTCCACTGACAAGACCGTGACACAGGCAGAATGATATTCCTCCAGGAACTCAGCTGCCTCGATGTTAATATTTTGCTAAGGACAAAAGGCAATCTTAGCCCAACCCCAGGAACCTGTAAGTCTACTTTAACATATAAAAATTCCTTTGGAAATTTCCTTTATCTCTACTCCCCAAGATACATGTTGGCAATCATCCCCCAAACATACGACCCACTGATATACATCTGAAGGGTCTCATGACTAAGCTTTTACTAGACAGGAATAAATGACCTTTACCCAACAATAGCTAGCCCCCTCAAGGTTCTGGAAACCTTGTTCCCAAAACTCCTTAGAGACTACGCTATCCCTAACCCCTCCCAACTTGAAAGTATATAATGGGCCACTCCTCATGACCACAGTACAACTCTTTCTGCCCATGGGTTCTGTTTCTGTGTTTTATTAAAAACCACCTTTTCCACCAAAGTCATCTCAAGAATTTTTTCCTGGCCATCAGCTTTGAACTCAATGTTTTTCCTACATCATTCATGGGTCACTCTGCCACCTCCCTGTGCTTTCTTCCTGTCTATTCCCTGTACAGCATGGAACTGCCAGAGTGATCCTTTCAAAGCATGAATTAGACCATTTCACTCTACGGCTCAAAACACTCTAGTGGCTTCTCATATCCTCAGTAAAAGCCAAAATCCTTACAAGATCCTACATTACATGACCCCTTACTACTTCTCTAACCTCTTCTCCTACCATTACCTTCCCCTTTGCATTCCACCCCTACCACCCCTCATTTTAGTCACAGTGGGAATGAATACATTTTTTGTCTTGTAAGAATTTCTTCTCTTCTGAACATATCAAAAAAAGTTTCATTGCCTTCTTCCTCTGCAATAGCATTGATATGGGAACTGACAATATTTTTTAAAAAGTGAGTTGAAATAATTGAATAAAAGACCCAAAAGAAAAAAATCAGTGGGCCCTTCTCAAAAAGACTGAAACAATGGTCACAAAATGAAAAAGTGTGACACCAAGTGAAATATAAATATGAAGAACAATCGCACTGCTACATACTTTCTCTATGACACTAACTTAAAGAGAATCCATGCCTTTTGCAAAGGTCTAACAGTGACAAAATCTACCTAATTTTATATGAGTATTAAGATACAGACAAAACATATATCCAGCACTTTTAGCTATTTTAAAACAACACGTACTAATTAAGCTAACTTTGCAAAATTTTTTTCTCAGACTCTGAGTTGCATTGCCAAGCTAGTATGTGGGAGGCAAAAGAGCAACGGGTGTATCAGAATAAGCTTTAGAAACAAAGAGAGGGGGCTTTCTAGCTTATGGCCCTAGGCTAGAAAAATACTATTATGGTAATGTATTAGCTGCCATTGACAATACTAGCTAAGTAAATTAATCACTAAATAAAAGTACCACTACCAGACTACAGTATCCTGAAGGAAAATGTGATGGCCCCTTAGGATTCCTACAGAGCTAGGTCCGCTGTTAGGAGATTCCTAACTCAAGTAAGGAAAAGCTGCTCTTTAAATGCTCAATAGAAATGACTACTGAAAGGTTATTTTGGAACTAATATGAAAGTAAAAGGCATAGAATTATGAAAAAAAATTACTGGATTGATAATAGGAATGCTTGAGTTCAATAGTAAAAATCCTACCAATACTAATCAATTACAAATTAGGAAAAATCACAATCGTACAAAACCGTTACACCTCGACATTAACAAAACTAGTTTTGTTTTTATTATTTACAAGCCAATGTCACCTAGAAATGGACAATTATCCTACAACAATTGGTAGTAGTTCTTATGTTATAAAACAAAATAAAAATCTATCACTTTTATTATAAACCAATGTCTCTGACATCAGGTTTTTGCTACTCAGAAAAGTAGTGTCACAGTTATAGAGCTTTAAAACTCAGGCAGAACTCTCAGGAAACTGAAGCAAAGAATGGGGAAACAGTCTCAGATTCCTACTCTGCTTTTATCTACCAAGAAAAGTGATCTTGGACAAGACACCGAACTTTTATTGCATGTCTACTATGTGGAAAACACCATGCTAGGTTTTTACATTTATTATCTCATATGACCTCACAATGAATCTGACAGTAGATAGTATTACCTAATTCAGGCTCAGAGAGAGACTAAATAATCTAGCCGACATTCACAGAATTCAGTGTAGTACTAAGATGCAAAAACCAGTATATATGACTCAAATCAAGCTATCTCCAAGGTTTCTCTTCAGATTACATTTTAGTCTGAGAATAATATAGAGTATGATGGACTTGAAAAAAAAATTTCAACAAAGGTGAAGAGAAAACACTATTTACCATTTCCCCTCAAAGATATAAATGATGATCCTGTCCCTGACTTCTGAAAACATCCCACCCGAACCCACTCCAAAATTATTCGCTGGTAATGGAAATACAGGTTATATCTCTGGGGCAGTAAGAATAACTGAGTACCTCTATTTTAGAGCCTATAACAAGGTAGGCGTAACAAGCCCTCAACTCTATGACAACCAAAATTTCTGTGTAAATTTGCAAAGATGTATGATATTAATAAGATTTTCATATCAACACTTCAATCATGTCCTCCTTGGTTCGGAAAAGGTGAGTCTTTATTAAATACTGACATGTAAGTTAAGATTTAAAAGTAGATACAGGCTTTAGTGGAATATTATGGTCCAAATGTAGATACCAAGAAGTTGAAATTTTGTTTAGTGGCAGGATATTATTGCATGTGTTATTTTCAACACATTTAATATTTTAAACTGCAAACTAAATATCCCTATTTAAATTATGCCTAGGGAAAAATTTCCAGTATCTAATGCTTAATAAAAACAAGGATGATTTTTTAATTCTCCAACTTCAATAAAGAACTTAATCAGACACTTAATACTTATACTAACTTACCTGCATAAGCAACAATCCAACTATAAAAGCACTTCCTTGACAGTAACCAACCTCACGATCCACTAAAGAATATGCCTAAAAAGTAAAAAAATGTTCAGAATACTTTAACATGATGTATTGTATCTTCCTTCTCTAAAAACCTAAAAATCGTGAGACAGTGGAGTAAAGACCATTTATTTTTTAGAAAAGCTTTTGCTTGTTATACAAGTTATCCTGTGTTTAAAAAGTAGGTGATTTATTATATAAATTTTCTTCTGACAATTTCCCAATTAGAAACTGACAGCTCCTAAGGACAAGAAAATAAAGGAATTTGTACTCAGTGAAGTAACTAAGCTTAAAAAATGTTTATCTGAGACAAAACCAGAGTAAGGTTAGGGTAAAGCACTGGAAAAACTGAGATGGTTTAAGAAGAAATTAATATTTCACAGAGGTAGTTGAAAGGGAAAAGAATTATGAGAAGAAAAAAGGCAATATTGAAAGAAAAAATTACAATGGCACACACTTTTAAGGGCTAAGAACTTTTAACAGTGCTGGCCACAGTAAACAGAAAACTTTGTTCCTAGATTGTGAAACTCACAGAAGATAAATTATCCATTTTCATAAATGATCTTTCTATGGTGTATAGTGATTTATAGGTTGATTTCAACCAACTAGTACTAAGCAAAGTGATGAATTTTCTAAGTTCTCTAAACTAGACAGTAATGTAGCATCAAAAATAAAGCAGAAATTAGGCTAACAACAAGTTTTTGCAGAAGAAACTGATTATTGTGCCGAGGATTCATGCTTCATTATATGTATAATTTCAATCTTCTGAGAATTCATTTCAAAAAATGAATAAATAGAACTTACCTTCATTACATTAAATAAAACCTCCTGTCCAAGGCTATCTTTTTCCTTAAAAAAATTGTGTTCAGGATAAGTTCTAGCAATGTCCCTTCGGATCAATTTTTCACATGGTGAGGTCATTTTCAGGAGTTCTGAATACTGATCCTTAATTGGCATACTTTGTGCACTGCATAAAAGTTGCCAAACTATTGCTCTAAAGTGGTGGGGTATCCCTTTATGAACAAGCTCCTAAAAATAAAAATAAAAGTAAAATAAAATTTTAAAAATGAACCAGTTAAGTCTCCTACCTTAAAAGCCAAAGAAGACTTAGGGGGGTTGGAATGGAGTAGAATACTCTATCAAATTTATAATTCACAAAGCTACTCTTAATACTAGGGAACCTTTTAACCAAGGCTAAGACTTGGCCCTTGGCTGTATCCTATTCTGTTCAGAGGGTTACAATGCCATGGATAAATTCTTGACATTTCTCCCAAAGTATGGCCTCTAAAGCTACTAAGGAAGTAATTGATAATCTGCAGAGCTGTGAATGAAAGCACAGTAACCATTATCTTTCAAAGGGGTGTTTTAGGCAAAAAAAGTTAAATACCGATAATTCAAAGATATCAGATGTTACAACTTCATTCCTGAGTCTATAAAATGTGAGGATTTAATTTCTAAAATAATTTTCAGCTATATATTTCTACCATTAGGATACATCTATAAAAACTGATATGTACAAGTCAAAACTTTTATGGGCACAAATAAATGAAAACATAAAGCAGAGCTCTATTACAGCCCTTGGAAAGTACTAGAATCTGATTTTTTTAAATCTTCTATTAATCCATGCCTTGATGCCCCTTTGGGATAAGAGGAAGAACTTCAACAAAGAATACGAATACCTTAACTTGCTTTTCCTTCTTTTTGCGTACATCTTCCCATTCATTAACAATTCTTCCCCAAAGAATCCAAGAATCTTCTTCAAGGTGGCTGAGATTGCTAGAGGCTGATGAACTTGATACAAGGGAGGAGCCACTGTTTCTTCTTGACCCATTTACAGATCTTAAAGACTTACTATCCGTCTCTAACAATCTAAAACATAATTAAAAATTGCTCAAGATCTAATTTCACAGTGATACTTGATGAAGTAATGATGATACAGCTTCACTATAGCTGTGGTTTTAGAATATGCATAATTTCAATAATATCTGATTGGCATCTATAAAATTACTGCTATTTTTGTTATCTAAGCATAGCAATTTCAAAAAAATTTTAATATTTATTTGAGAGACAGAGAGAGCAGGGGGAGAGGCAGAGAGGTAAGGAGAGGGAGGGGAAAAGAATCTCAAGCTGACTCTGCACTGAGCACAGAGCCTGCCACAGGGCTTGATCTCACATCCCTGAGATCATGAACTGAGCTGAAACCAAGAGTTGGATGCTTAACTGACTGAGCCACCAGGTGCCCCACAATTTCAGAACTTGATGGTAAATTATGTTAAATATTTTAGTGCTATTAGTCCCATTATAATTTCCCTTCATCTCCACTAAAAATACAAATTAGGAGAAATCTGGTGAGAAAAATAGTTGGGAGGGCTTCAGGAAAAAAGAAACTACAGTTGGAACAGGTATAACAAATTCTATGAAAGAACTAATCCTAATATGTTTAGAATATGTCCTGGGCTAGAAAAAAGCAAGGCAAAGCCATACAAATCATCCAAATCCCTTCTCTTTTTTAATTTTTCTCTACCCATGTATAAATCTGCCCAAAGTGTTTTGTTTGGTCATGCAGTGTTTGTATAAATTGAACAATTATTAATATTAAAATTGGAAGATTTTACTTATTTGTTTATATACACATATATTTATATTTATTTACAATTCTGGGGTTCTCTTGAAAAATAAAAAGATAGGGCAAAACCAGGCCCATATTTCTGCATAGGAACAACAAGGTGTAGCAGAGTAAGAGCTTCTCTTACTAAATGGAGGACTTTAATCCACTCAATCTCCATAATCCCTACTATCTCCCAAAAACTCAGGCCAACTAACAGCTGTTATTTATCACTGGGTTTACACTCTCAAACAAAGACCTCTTCACTCTTAAGGACCTGTAGCCTTTGTGTTTCCTTATCTGTTGAAAGATGAATTAAGATAATTTCAGAGATCAATTCCATGACTCATCACAACATCAAATCCATTATTTCTTTTATAAAGAAACAGACTATTAAAAAAAGGTTGGAGGGGCGCCTGGGTGGCTCAGTTGGTTAAGCGACTGCCTTCGGCTCAGGTCATGATCCTGGAGTCCCGGGATCGAGTCCCGCATCGGGCTCCCTGCTCGGCGGGGAGTCTGCTTCTCCCTCTGACCCTCCCCCCTCTCATGTGTTTGCTCTCCCTCATTCTCTCTCTCTCTCAAATAAATAAATAAAATCTTTAAAAAAAAAAAAAAAAGGTTGGAAAATGTGGCTCCATCACTATAAAGATGTAAATTACATGTCATTCAAATAAGGGTCCTAAAAGAGCTATTTGTGTTTTTAACATGGCTTCTATTTACTTCCAGTAATTTCTTGAGTAAGTCATCTGCTTAGGATATAAGAAATGCTCCCAGTAGTAATTTAAGATAAATAAAAACTAATAAAGGAAAGAAACGTATGTGTCAAACCCTACTGAACAGACTACAGAAACATCCTTTATATTTATAATTTACTCATCCTTATATCCCTGACAGCATTTAACTCAGTACAAAGTACATTAAATATTGACTGAGATGAAATAAAATCAAAATTCCCATATTAAAAAAAACTTCAAATCCCAAATATGTCATATTTAATAATACAACACAATAACACAAATTGAACAAATTCTATCCTTATTCATGGGATAATTTAATACATTTCCATTTCAACATAATTTTATATAAAATATCCCAAATATTGCTAGAAACAGGAAAATTTATACAACCAGGCAAATTAAGGGTCAACTATTTGCTATAAATAGTCTTTATTAGAAAAAATAATGATGATGTTTTACTTAAATACTGTTTTTTCTACAGATATTATTTCAGTAAGTCCACAATATATCCTATGGAAAAATTAGTAAACATATGTAAATACTTTTATGTATGAGTCTAATCCTTCAGAATTCTAAATGGAATAGAGAAACAAACTTTACTGAAACAACTTGAACCTAAGTCCTGTATTTCAGTTCATTATTCATTGAGTGCTTGCTATTGGGCCAAGTAACTAAACTACAGCACTACCAGCAATAGAGAGACATGGAGTTAAAAAGAAAATAATGGTATTTCCTAAGTTAAATGTAAGTTTGAGATATAATGGAAATATAGATGAAAAAGTGCCTAAACAGAAGGCTTTTTTTAGAGAGTCAGAAAGGTCTCAGAGATTGCCAAGTTATAACTTCTGGTATAAGCAGCAATGCCAAGTGCAATCATGGGTGAGTCAGAGAACAGGGTAAAGCAGTTTATCTTCAGAGGACAGTGAAATAACATAAACAAATACACAGAACTGTAAGAAAAAATGTATAAATGAAGTATTCCAAATAAAGATACTACATTATTTAAAATATTCAAAATACTGTCCCTGGGGCGCCTGGGTGGCTCAGTCGTAAAGCGTCTGCCTTAGGCTCAGGTCATGATCCCAGGGTCCTGGGATCGAGCCCCACATCAGACTCCCTGCTGTGCAGGAGACCTGCTTTTCCCTCTCCCACTCCCACTCCCCCTGCTTGTGTTCCCTCTCTCGCTGTGTCTCTCTGTCAAATAAATAAATAAGATCTTTAAAAAATAAAATAAAATAAAACAGGGGCACCTGGGTGGCTCAGTCACTGGGCATCTGCCTTCGGCTCAGGTCATGAGCCCAGGGTCCTGGGATTGAGCCCTGCATCAGGCTCCCTGCTGCGCAGGAAGCCTGCTTCTCCTTCTCCCACTCCCCCTGCTTGTGTTCCCTCTCTCTGTGTGTCTCTCTCTGTCAAATAAATAAATAAAATCTTTAAAAAAATAAAATAAAATAAAATACTGTCCCTGCCTTAACTACCATGACATATAAAAATGACACAAATGGACAACAGCCATGAATATAAAAGTTAAAACTATTAAAACTCCTTGAAGAAAACAGGAAAAAGCCTTTACCCCTGGAGGAGGCAAAATGTGTTAACAAGACACAAGGAAACACTAACCATAAAAGAGAAGATTGATTAAAAAATAAAATGGACTTGGGGCGCCTGGGTGGCTCAGGCGTTAAGCGTCTGCCTTCGGCTCAGGTCATGATCCCAGGGTCCTGGGATCGAGCCCCGCCTCAGGCTCCCTGCTCCTCAGGGAAGCCTGCTTCTCCTTCTCCTACTCCCTCTGCTTGTGTTCCCTCTCTCGCTGTGTCTCTCTCTGTCAAACAAATAAATAAAATCTTTAAAATAAATAAATAAATAAATAAAAAATAAAATGAACTTCATCAAACTTTAAAACTCTGCTCTTCAAAAGATACCGCTGAGAAAATGAAAAGGTAAGCCACAGTCTGAGAACAAAATGTTCTCAACATATGTATCTGACAAAAGATTAGTATCCAGAATATACTAAGAACTCTTAAAATCAATAATTAAGAAAGCAAACAACACAGCTGTTTAAATGAGTAACGGACTAAAACTGACACTTTACAAAAAAAGATAATCAAGTGGCCAATAAGCAATCGGAAAACACTTAACATCTTTAGTCATCAGAGAAATGCAAGTTAAAATCAAACTATGTATACATTAAAATGGCTACAATTTTAAAGATTGACCATACCAAGTGTTGCCTGGGATGGAAGTACTTGTAACTGTCATATAGTGATGTCATACTTCAACCTCTTTGAAGAACTAAATACATTTTCATATGACCCAACAAGAGAAAGACTTGAAGAAAGTTCATAGAAGCTTTATTCGTAATAGTTAAAACCTAGAAACAACTCAAATATCCAGAAAAAATAAGTGATCAAATTGTGATATATTCATTCATTGCAATATTACTCTGCAATAAAAAGCAATAAACTGCTGATACATATAACATAGATGAACCTTATAAATGTTAGGTCGAGTGAAAGAAGTCAGATGCAAAAAAGCATATACTACATGATTCCACATATATGAAGTTCAAGAACAAGTATAGTATAGAAGAAAATATAGGAGTAAGTCCTCATGACTCAGGGTTAGGTAAAGCCTTCTTAAAAATGACACCAAAAGCACAAGTGACTAAATAAATAAATACACACAAACACACATACACACAAATTGAACTCATCAAAATTAAAAATGTTTCATACCTTCCTGGATGCCATCAAGAAAGGGAAAAGAAAACTCACAGAATGGGAAAAAATATTTGCAAGCCAGAAGACCTATATCTAGAATATGTAAGAAACTCTTACAACTCAATGGTAAAGACAAACAACCCAATTAAAAAATGGGCAAAGAACCAGAATAGACATTTTTCAAAAAACAGATATACAAATGGCCAATAAGCACATGAAAAGTTGTTCAACATCACTAATCACTTGGGAAATGCAAACCAAAACCATAGTAAGACACCACTTCACAACCACTAGGATGGCTGTAATCGAAAAGACATAATAAATGTTGATGAAGAAATGGAAGCATAGGAACCCTTAGACACTACTTGTGGGAATGTAAAATGGCAAAACCACTTTGGAAAACAATATGGTAATTCTTCAAACGATTAAACAAAGAATTATCATGTGAACCAGCAATTCCAGTCCTAGGTATATAACCAAGATAAATGAAAATCTATGCCCAAGAAGGGACAGGAGGTGACTGCTAATGAATGTCAGTTCCCTGTGGTGACAGCTGCACAAAATTTACATAACAAATGCTCATGGCAGCATTACTCATACTAGCCAAAAAAGTGGAAACAATCCAAATGTCCATCAACTGTTAAATGGATTAAAAAAACACTGGTATAGCCATATAATGGAATATTATTCGGTCATGAAAAGGAGTGAAATATTGGTACATGGACAAACCTTGAAAACATTATGCTAAGTGAAAGAAGTCACAAAAGGAAACATATTGGATGATTCCACCTATATAAAATATCTAGAACT